AGGGAAATTTGCCAAACATGGAACTTATTTATGCCCGATTTTTCAAATGTTCTATAGTGGATTCAATAAAGAAATGAATATGGTCGATCACCGGCATGAAGGAGGTAAGAAAAAGACTAATGGAATAAAATACACTCAAAACCAAAGTGTTCCGACGAAATCCCGGACTCAGTGACAGTTATTACACGAACTTCTGGCTCCATTCTTCGTGTAAAAGTTCCTCCCCTCTGAAATTCATTCAAAGCTATTATTTTAACTAGTTCGGCAATAAGTTTACTGTTTTTACATGAACTTAAAATCTGTCTCAAGTATACCAAACGACTTTTATACTTTACCTGATTTCTATATAGAACTTATAAAGAAATAGATTTTGTTTGAAAAAAATAATTAAAACAGTGTGAACTTCCAATGGGGAAAACAGATTTTGATATTCCAGTTAATATTGAGGAAATTTCATTTAAAATTTTTATTGAAGCATAAAATAGAAATAAAATTTGATTGTTTGTTGTGCAATATGTTGTTTTATTAGTTAGTTTATATAGTTTTAAAGTTTCGTACATTCCCCGTTACCTGGATGATATACTATCATAAAAACTCACTTTGATCAAATGGTTACGAAAATATATCCAAGTGATTTTAAATTGATAAATAATCTCTTCAGACATTACAACATGTTTTAGATGTAAACATTTCTATCATTGGCAACATTATAGAAATTAAAATCAATGAGAAAAGAGATGATTTTAATATCGTTATCTCACAACAATAAGATGGAGATTAACCTCATACAACATCACATGGTGAACATATTTCTTAGATAATAAGATAAGTGGACGTGTGGGTGATTGTAATGAAGGCCGGCAAATATCTTTAGCAAAGCTATCGCTACCATAAAGTGCGTAAATATGTTTTTAAGTTCTGCCATCGAAATTCAGATTTTATTCTAAATTATAATTCTAATTGTAAATCAATTTTTACGACTAGATATTAGCAAGCCTGATATATAAGGAGATATGATTTATTTACTGTGGTCATAGTAATTGTTCTGCTGTTTTCACTAAAATGATCAAACGTTTAATTAAAACAGGATATGACCAAGTTATTGTAAGGCATATCACAGGCTTAGTGTTTAAGCCTGCCACAGTTGGACGCTATGCTTTCCTCTTCCAATTGCATCTGACAGACCAAGTGGTAGACTATAACTGTCCGCTCGTAAAGCCTTTTGGACAGAATTGTTCTAATTTTAGTCTTCTCTTATACTTCGTCAGGGCCATGTAGGTGATTTTGTTTTTGCTCTGCTTTTCTTAAATGCGGGTATTTTTGTTAAGGTCATTGGGTTGTACATTTTGTTGTATATTTTCATGATCAGTTATGTGTTTATTATTTCGTTTATCTATGACAATTGAATTTCATACAGGAACATATTTGGGCTAAAGTGAGGTTTGGCGCGCCTTATACCAGTTTAATCTCTTCAGTGGTTCTCTTAGTACTAACTTCCAAGGCGGTAGCCCTCTATGTTGCTTCAGATGTTTCGCATGTAAGTCTTATGTTTTGTTTGTTGCGTGTTAAGAATGTTTACACGTTTTGTGATATCTTATCTTGTTAAATTGTCGTTAACGGTGAGTATTTCTTTTCTCTCTCCCAACATGTCCCATTTTATGCCCCCATCCCCACCGTTTCCTTACACTCCATTGCCGTTTGATTCCTATGTCGGAACTTTTAGTTCTTAAACATGTCCCTCCCCTCCTTTCATTGCCCTTTTGCCCCCTCGTGTTTTTGGTTCGGTGCCTACTTGTTGCCCTGCTAGTGTAGCTGTGTTGTGTTTGGGTTGAATGATGTAAATGTCGCCTTGCCTTGTTAATATTTGTTCTCATTTGTAAATATATAACACATTTTAGTCTTGATTTGTGAAACTACAATGCATAGAGCTTAGGTATTTGACATGTAGCATTGCCTTTTTGGCCTCTAAGAAACAGGTATAATTTATGTTCCGGCAATCACTTAGTTGATTTTGCCTTGTATAAGAAAACCCATTTTAGTCTCCTCTTATAAAACAAAAATGCCTGGAGTTTGAAAATTCTGTCATGTAGCATTGTCTTGTTGACCTCTATAAATTTTTTATACTAAGTAAATCATGCCCCTGGGGTCAATATTGGTCAAACCCTTGGTGTTACATTATCAAAAAGGCTTATATATGTTTTTTTTTTTTTTGTATTTCTTATCGCGTGTAAGTACTATGCCATGAGCTTCGATATTTGATAAGTAGAGTTTCCTTATTGGCCATCGTTAAACCGATAAAAAATTTAATCATGCCCCCTTAGTTGATATATGGCCCATCTCGGGTGTAACGTGCTAAAATATTTAGCAATTAGCATTACCTTATGGATCTCTGCAAAACTGATATCAATTATTCCCCTGGAGTAAAATAATGGGCCGCCCAGAGTTCACCTGATACATTTTGATTTATATATAAAAACACATTAAGATTTTTTTGTTTCCTTATTGGCCTTCGTTAAACAAATAAAAAAAAATAATCATGCCCCCTGGGTTGATATACGGCCCATCCCGGGTGTAACGTGCTAAAATATTTAGCAATTAGCATTACCTTATGGATCTCTGCAAAACTGATATCAATTATTCCCCTGGAGTAAAATAATGGGCCGCCCAGATTTAAGTATTTAAGGTAGTTTTGTGATGGCTGAAATGATTATTTATTATTCGGTTTATTTGCAATGTTGTATTTTACAGCGCATTGAATGTTCCAAAATGGCAGTCATTTACTTTCTCATTCAATTCTATATTTTTTATAACCAGCATTATTATATGTTTTAATCTTGTTCACAGTTAACCAATTCAAGGCCGTCGTCGATGGTCCGGCTGGACCAATATTTTGAATAAAATATTATACTCGCCAGAGGCTCGTGTAATATATTTTCATTCAGCTCTTGGAATTCAGTAGTAAACTCATTCAATTTACTCTATTACATAATTACAGTGCAGGACGTGTTCCGGCCTAAGTACTTTGAAGCACTCGATCTTGCAATGGCCAATGTAAAAGAGAGATTTGACCAACCGGGATATCGCGTACTTCAGAACGTGGAGGATATACTCATTAAGGCCGCACAACCTTTGAAGACCGAGTACACTAGAAAACTTGGTTTTGTTTGTGATTTTTATGGCAACGATATTAAACGAGACCTCTTAGAGGTGCAGCTTCAGCTGCTACGTTCACATTTTGACAAAAACAGGAGATAGTACTGTTACTCTACCTGACTCTTTGAAATTTGTTTCAGTACAGTCAGTGTTAGAACTAGCACTGTTCTCTAAGGTCGTTTTGTTGTTAAAGGTTTTGTTAGTAATGCCTGCTACTAATGCTACCAATGAAAGGACATTCTCGGCAGTCAGAATAAAGAATAAAGAACATACCTGAGATCGACAATGTCTCAAGTACGCTTGAACAATCTAATGGTGTAACATATTCATAAGTACAGGACAGATTCACTCAACTTACGTGTAATTGCCGATGAGTTCCTTACCACCAGAGAACGACGGCGATGTGTTTTTGGAAAATTTACATAAAATGAGACTCTGATTTTTGCAAGATTATGGTGAGCAAAATACAAGTTACTGCTAAACAAAAAGCGGTTATTGTTGACTCGTAATGTACTATTCTTCCATCATGGCATCGACTGCTATTTAAGCTTATACCATTGTGTGATTTATGTTAAACAATATTCCACGTACTGTATTTGTTTATTTATAATTATCAGATAAAAATGTATCTAAAGAATTATAACAACATTAGTTATTTTTCATTTGCCAAATATCAATTACATAAAATCTGTAAAAAATCGTTGACATATTACTATAACTTGTACTAGCGACAGGCTGTAAACTGTGCCAAATATACGGGAAAACGCCCCTGAGAGCATCCTAGAATAAAAAATTTTCCGGGGGAGCATGCCCCCGTACCCCCCTAGATTCTAGCTAAAACATATCAAATTGGCCGCACCAATCACAAAATCGTGACGACGGGCCTGACCATCACGTGAGACAGGATGTATGTGAAGTGAAGTGATGTAACATTGTGTTGTGGAATAGGCTTAAGATCCCATAGATCTGTAAGTATAAGAGTATGTTGGTATTTATACCTTTTGTAATAATGTAAAACATTATACATGTAATGTTTAACTGGTAAGACATAAGAGTACAAATGCTATAATCATTTAGTGATCTTAATGTCTATAGTAATAAGATGTTTATTTAATACTATGTTTATTGATTGTATTTATTATATGTGCAAACATTGTTAGTATTATGTCATTTCAGTGCCTTGATTAAAGTTGACTTCAATAGAGACGATATATATATTGTATATTCAGTTTGACTGTATATGTAGATTGGAAACAATAAATGAATTACCACATATACCCTGTGTTATAACACCATGTGTTACACATTATTAAATTATTAAAAAAAAAGAAAACGGTTTGTTGATTACTAAAGAAAATCATTGTTATAATCATACTGTGGTGAATCGTTATTTAACTGTGGCGAATCGTTATTACTTTTTGGCGAATCGTTATGTGGCGAATCGTTAGTGTGGCGAATCGTTACTAATTCATAAAAACACATTAAGATTTTTGTGAGAAAACTACAAAGCCCAGATCTAAGATCACATCTGTTTGTTGATAACTATTATGCCTCTAAGTTTCGCATAAAGCATTGCTTAGTAGACCTCTATTAAACATTTGTAAATCCAAAAAAAAAATTCCCTATCTTGGAGCTCATACAATATTATACGGAAGTTTAAGATAAAATATTTTTCTAAAAAGTTTCTTCATTGGTGCTCTTCCCTATTATAATTACTGAAAAAATATATTTGGGTGTATAATGCTCTGCTTTGAACATGATCTTGTTATACTACTTTATCAAATTCAGGAAATTCTTATTCAGGTTACATTTTTAGCATCTGCATCAGTTAAACTAAAACACAAGTCTGTAGGTCTAATTGTGTAATATCCTTCTCAGACATACATGTAGCTGTTAGTAATAAAATGTGAGCCATTTTCCAAATAGAATTATGATATGACCTACTTTATTAATTCACTATAAGGAACAGTAAAATTGACAACATAGGTGAGATGTAAAGGACACCTGTACAAAATTAACAGTGCGGTTTCAGACATTCTTTCTGAACATAGGTATAACATCAAAAGTGTAAAACTGACGTTAATCAAGTATTAAACATGGTATGGACACCTTAATATTCAAACGCATGTCCATGTAACAAAATGTCCATGCTCTTTTCAACAAAAATAGAAGATAACAGATGCAAATATGAAAAAAAGGCATTTTTCAGTAATACACTATCATTGTCAAAATATAATATAATGCATTTATGTCTTATACAATTAATTTTTTATTGCAGTAATCTTTTTAAAATCATATATTTTTCCAATCAGATACCACGTGTAAAATCATCTGATTCGTGTATCCATGTAATTAGTTCGACCAAAATAAGCGACATGAAGTTTTTCTCTAAAACTGATGAAAAGTTTTGTCAATTGACATGTTCATAAATGACATTTAGTGTGATTATAGATTAGTATTAAAAATATTCACTATCATCAAATTTTATGATGTTCCTATTTGACAATCTCAGTCATAACATGTCATCGTAATTAATTTTGTCAATAATACTAAAGTATTATTAAAGACGGCTTCATAAATCTCCAAAATAACTGTCTTCGCCGTCTCCACCGTCTCCTTGGTCTCCGCCGTCTTCATCGTAATACAAGTAGTGCACGTAGTCATTGTCTGCTTCTTTTTCTGCTGAACTACAATTTCGACAGTTAGGATTCTCCTGAAGCAAGTCATCATACATAGCATAGTAGTCGAGGTCCACTTGAGATGGCTTCTTTGTTGTTGTTGTTGTTGCTTCTGTTGCAGAATCTCCTAACACCACATTACCATTATTTTCATTATCATTACCTTTGTTTTCTTCCTTACAACACTGAAACATCATGTAATAACATTTTAATGGTGTCATAAATTAAAAAAAGAAAAAAAGAAAAACACAGAACGTTCGAAAACCTCTACTAATTTTCCGATATAAAATATCTCCTGTTGTTAAATGAGTTAAATGAGCTTATTTCTGTTCAGGCATAGACATAGATACTGCAGTGTACATAACCACCAACTTCAGTGTATCATCGACAAATATTTGGTAACTATTAACTTTTGACTATATGTCAATCTTATATTCACTTCAACATAGTTTTTATATGAAGAAAAGGACAAATATGCGTTTGCCAAAATTAAATCACAAACTTCGAGCACTTGAAAAAAATATCAAAAAGTTTTCCAAGATACCAAAGGGTAGGATCTATAACTTAAAGTAAATGGCGATTATTTGCAATGAAATGATTTTCAATGGTTAAATGTTTTCCTTAAAAGACCCGTACAAATACGGCGCGCTGCAGTTTTCTCAGTGCTGTATAGTCGTCAAACAAGGGAAATAATAAAGCAAAAAAGACTTTCAGAATTATCTCCCCTATCGCTACAAAAACTTAAAATTTGACTGAATAAATACTAGTGAACTTGAAAATTTTTGATATACACTCAGACGAATTTGTAAACGTCCAGTCTATATCGTATGATTCTGGTAAAAATCAGCAATATTCAAGTTAGAAAATTTGCATGTGTAATTTCAATGTTAGTTTTAAGTATCCTACATGAAAAAATCGTGATTTTACAGCGAGGTTAATTGTCGAGGAACCAAAGCACGTTCATTTAATGTACAAAATGGTAGTATTTAATTTTCAATATAAAATTGATCCATATACATTTCCTAACTAAAAAATCATACAATATGGCTAGAATGAATGTTCAAGACCGTGGACAGGTCATTGGTATGCTACAAGCTGGTTTATCTATCCGACAGGTACGTCACTTAATTCTTATTCTTATTCCTAATGTTCGCGAAAATCGTGGAATGATTTAAGCCCAGGATAATGCATTCTGTCACGTTTCTAGAGGTACCATGACAATAACGTAAGGACTCTCCAATCGCCTGCAAGAAATCCTGATTTAAATCCTATCGGATGTATTTGGGATATTCTAAAGAGACAAGTAAGAGCCCGGACACAACAGTTAAATATTGTCGACCTAACAAGGTATGTTATCCAGGTACGGGCTGCAATGCCCCAGCAGTATCTTCACAGATTTATTATATCCATGCTGTCAAGGTTTCATGCCATTATTGCCGCTGTCGGAGGACACACAACCTATTGAATGTCGAGCTAAATCTGATGAAAGACAATGTTATTTCTCGCTCTCAGGGTTGTTTAATTTCTTTAAATATCTCTGGTTAAAACATATCTTTATATCTGATGAAAATTTTCATTTGATATTTGGAATACATTCTATCATATCATGGAATAAAAAAAGCCAAATCTTATTTCTTTTGTTTAAATTTTGTAAAACATAGGGTGGACGTTTAGAAATTCGGTTCAGTGTGTTTGAGAAATGTTCCTGGACAAAAATTTTGATTAAGAAAATCAAAATCCAAAGTAATAAAGTAACTGAATAAAGTAAAAAGTTATCTACCCTTTAAAAATGCATTCCAATTGAAAAACTAAAAATGTATTTAAGTTTGAACAGTTCAATTTTGACAATTTTATCAAAAAGGAGCATTACTTTGCTAAAAGGAACACGTGGTGTAATACTTTGATAGTGCGTATATACATATCAAGTTTGAAGTGAATTGATTCGATAGTTATTTGTAAAATTGACTTTAAACAAAAAAGTTGACCAAGGCTTAGAGTTTAAGTTCCAAAGGGTACATAACTGTGCAAAAATAATTTTCGGATTATCTGCCCTTTTGAAATGCCTTTTTGTTATGACAAAAACATGTATACCAAGTTTGAAGTGAAATAGCTTTAATCGCTTCTAAAAAACATGAGGGCCATGATGGCCCTGGGGTCGCTCACCTGAACATAGGCCCCCAGGGCCGGACCAATTTTAACCCCAGGACTTTTATTTGAACAAACTTGGTAGACACCCATTAGAACATGTTTCATGCTAAATATCTTAGCTCTAGCTCTTTGGATTCTTTAAAAGAAGATTTTAAAGTATTTAATTACTGTATGCAATATAGGAAAAATCAATGACCCCCTAGGGTGGGGCCAATTTTGACCCAAGGGCTTTTATTTGAACAAACTTGGTAAACATCCATTAGAACATGTTTCATGCTAAATATCTTAGCTCTAGCTCTCTGGGTTCTTTAATAGAAGATTTTTAACTTTTTACTCTATGTATAAAGGGAAAAGCAATGACCCCTGGGGTTGGGCCAATTTTGACCCAAGGGCTTTTATTTGAACAAATTTGGTAGACACCCATTAGAACATGTTTCATGCTAAATATCTTAGCTCTAACTCTTTGGGTTCTTTAAAAGAATTTTTTTAAAGTTTTTACTTAATTATGCATATAGGGAAAATCAATGACTCCCTGGGGCGGGGCCAATTTTGACCCAAGCGCTTTTATTTGAACAATCTTGGTAGACACTTATTAGAAGATGTTTCATGCTTAATATCTTAGCTCTAGCTCTTTGGGTTCTTTAAAAGAAGATTTTTTTAAGTTTTTACTATATGCATATAGGGAAAATCAATGACCCCGTGGGGCGGGGCCAATTTTGACCCCAGGGCTTTTATTTGAACAAAGTTGGTAGACATCCATTAGAACATGTTTCATGCCAAATATTTAAGCTCTAGCTCTTTGGTTTTTTTAGAAGAAGATTTTTTAAAGTTTTTACTATATGCATATAAGGTAAATCAATGACCCCCTGGGGCGGGGCCAATTTTGTTCCCAGGGCTTTTATTTGAAGAATCTTGGTAGACACTTATTAGAAGATGTTTCATGCTTAATATCTTAGGTCTAGCTCTTTGGGTTCTTTAAAAGAAGATTTTTTAAGTTTTTACTTTATGCATATAGGGAAAATAAATGACCCCCTGGTGCGGGGCCAATTTTGACCCCAGGGCTTTTATTTGAACAATCTTGGTAGACACTTATTAGAACATGTTTCATGCTTAATATCTTAGCTCTAGCTCTTTGGGTTCTTTAAAAGAAGATTTTTTTAAGTTTTTACTATATGCATATAGGGAAAATCAATGACCCCCTGGGGCGGGGCCAATTTTGACCCCAGGGCTTTTATTTGAACAAACTTGGTAGACATCCATAAGAACATGTTTCATGCCAAATATCTAAAGCTCTAGCTCTTTGGGTTTTTTAGAAGAAGACTTTTTTAAGTTTTTACTATATGCATATAAGGAAAATCAATGACCCCCTGGGGCGGGGCCAATTTTGACCCCAGGGCTTTTATTTGAACAATCTTGGTAGACACTCATTAGAAGATGTTTCATGTTTAATATCTTAGGATATGCTCAGGTGAGCTAAAAACGGACATTAACGGTAAATCGAAAGGTAATCGAACGCCGTCGTTAGGGTCATAGTAATAGCTGCACTTTGTTTCTTCGGAAAAATAGCTGCACTTTGTTTCTTCGGAAAGTGGAGCTAAAACTGACAGATAGAGAGGTACCAAAGTTAATAACGGGACCCCGAAAAAAGGTGCCAGTTTTCACGACAATAGTTACTGAATAAGTGATTTGCGGATTTATATAAAAAATAAAGCTACGGAAGAACAAACATCTATGACCATTTTTTCCCACATAGTTTTGTTCACTTATCTATGTTTAAGTTATTATTTCTTGGAAAAAAGTATGATAAGATCAATACATAACGTAAGTCTATAGCATTTTAAACTGGAACAAGTTATAAACTTTTGTTCAGCTTTTGCGATGATATTTTCCTGTATTTTAATATTGTGGGCAATAAATATTAACTTTGTAACCATGATAAATTGATTCTAGCATTGAGAACGCACAGTCTGGCCTGGCTGTATTGCAGCTTGTACACCTTGGTTTTGTTGTTTACATCCTTTAAGTTTCAATGACATTCTCCCGACTTTAAAGCAAAGCAATTAAATTACACAAATTCAGCAGGTTATGTAACATACCGGAAGAGGCGTTGTCGATGATCCCGTTGTTGTTGTCGGTGCTGTTGTTGTTGTTGTAGTTGTTGTAGCCATTTCTTCTTCTATAAAAAGATAAAACAACATATAACCTGATATATGAAATGCTAATATATCTCAGTTAATTGCATATCAAAACATTATATATAACGGGATAGTTAAAATGCTAAAATATGTCAAATTATAATCTATTTTTGTATTTTCTGATCGCAAGATCAGTACATCCACGGTCTAACACAAAATTTCCTCACAGACCTAACAACGCAAAGCAGTTCTTACTCAAAACTGCTTAAAATCAGCAATTTAAAAGAAAGAATAATTTTTAATGTACACATTTAACGAATTACATTGCTTTTTTACCCAATGAATAATGTTCGACTATTTCCGTAAAGCTTAATCAATGAAAATGCTATTTTTAGCTATGTCGATTACCGAATACTCCAGAGCGTAGTACACAAATGAATCTGACTGTCAAGTAGTGGAATATATACATGTCGGACTGTTTTGGCGAGAAGATTTTCGCTAAATTATTTACATCAGTGTTTAACAACAGGTTTATCGTGAAAAAAATACCTCGAAATTTATAAGGATTACAAACACGAAATGGAAATTGTCAGTTTCAGAATTACAATGTATTTGTTTTTATTGAAGCTACATACGTATTACTTCACCTTGGTGTAGAGGTAGCGCGTTCGTTTAGGGTGTGAGAGGCCTAAGGTTCAAATCCTAGTCGAGGCAACATTTTTTTAAAGTGTCTTTTTTAAGGAAGTAGCCACGATATGCAAGGATAAAGTGTGGCTGTCATAAAAACATGAAAAATGATTTTTTGATGCAACTCTAGGCATGCAAAATTCCATATGTATCAATCTCAAACTGTTATAGAAAAAAATCTAAACGCAGTCGCTGCGTAAGATGAATTATAGTATATAAAAATAAACTTATACAGGAAAGATCAGAAAATACGACAAAGCATGCAGCCCTTTGATTCTCTTAAATAAGTGGAATTTGTGTACGGTTTTCCATTACGGCCATCGCGACAAGTAAATAACTCAAAACAATGAAAACTCGAACTTATGATGGTAAAAAAGGCGAAGGTATGATGGTGACGCCGATAGTACGATGCTGAAAAGTCCAAATAACGAAACCACGATAGTTAAAACTAAAACTTTCGACTTTTTACCATCGTGCCTTCGGCTTTTCACAATCTTGGTTTTCATTATTTCGACAAATCATCATCATATTTTTGACTTCTGTTTCGTATTTTCGACTTTTCATCATCTTGGTTTAATTATTTCCACTTTTCATCGTCGTACTTTCGACTTTTCATCTTCGTAAATTTGACTTTTCATCTGACATCGTACTGTCGCGTTCCTATCTGGCATAAGCACCCACACACTTAAAATACATGATGATATCAGAAAATATTTTAACCAAGGGAACAATTTCACAGAAATAATTATGTCAATTGCTTTTGATCATGAATGATGGTGAAAAGTTGAAATAACGAATGCAAAATGGTGAAATCTCTAAAATACAGTTATGAAATGTCCAAAATAGGAGGGTGAAAGTCGAAGTTACGAAACAACGATAGTGAAAAGTCAAAAGTGCGATGTTGAAAACACGAAATTATATAGAGTTTTCACAAACGCGTTTTCGTTATTTTGATTTTTCACCAGCGCATTTTCATTTTCGTGGTTTCATTGATAGGTCTTTTTCACCATCGTAATTTCGTGTTTTCGTAGTTTCGAGCTATTTGTGTGTAAAAATATAAATGAATTCTACTTTAAATACAAAAATCTAAGCTTCCTTGTTAAACTGTTATTTTATTGTAATTTTGCAAAACATAATTTGAACACACTAAGCAGTGATCTCATATACAATTCTACAAATGAAATTATCTTAGCTGTAGGTCAAGGCGCTTTTTAAGATTGTTCCAACATTAGACTATGTAAAATCAAGTATCAAAGGTTATGATTTACACAACAAATATTTTTAAAAGCTCAAGGTCACGGCGCTTAGAACAAACAATTTTTAAAAGTTTTCCTATATGACTCATGACGCAGGACATTATCGAACGCTTCACACCAAATATCTGAGCTCTTGAAGAGAAAAAATTGAAAATCTAGGACAGTGATTAACTATACCATGTTAAACATTAAAAGTTCAAATGATTGAAGCTTAAGAAAAAAAATGTTTAAAAACAAACCCTATCAATAACTCTATGTAAAATCACATGACTCCTTGGGCGGGCCTTACCTTGACCCCGGGTCTTGATTTGAACAAACTAAATAGCATTCCACCACAAGACATCACACCAAATATCTGAGCTCTAAAACTTGAAATTATAGAGATGGAGCTTTTGTAAGAAATAAAGGTTGAACTTATCTTATAATCTCTTTTAGCTTCTCTAAACAAGATACATTGTATGCTATAGTCAGACATTTTTGAACAGAATATCGAATTTGTATCAAAACTGTGTAAGTGGTTAGTTACAGAAGAGATGTCACTTGAAACACACAAAGATTCTTAAACATCAAAGTGGCATGTGCTAAGGTACCCAAAAAGAATTAATCCCAAATAATTTACCTGTGCAATTGCAGGGACTAGTTTGTTCTTCTTTCATCGCATCTTCTTTAGCGTCATCTGAAATAGTAGGATTGCAATCGGCATTAAGTCCTACCAGTTACTGTTGATGTTGTTAAATATAAATACTTAATAATCGGTCATATATATATACCTAGTCTTATTAGTGATCAACACACGAATGTTTTCCTTATCATAATGCGACCAATGAGAAATAAAAGATAATGAAATACAACCCATATTTTATCAGTGATTAAATATGTTTATGTTAATGAAATGTTAATGATTATATAAGAATAACTGATAAAGATATAAATATTACCACTGATGGTCTGTATCTCTTGTGTTAATATATTTATGTTTATTTATTTCTAATTTAATGTACAAATAGAATTCATTATGTAAAATATATACAAACATATAAACAAGTTGTATGTAAATGCTAATATTTGTTGAGGAACTTAAGAGTGGTATCATATTGAGTAAATTTAATGAAATTTAATGAAAAACGTAGTGTGGTAGAACTACACGTATACATGCTTGACCATGTATATATGAAGAGCGTCTTAAAATAAATTTGTCAATACTTATAAACTAACAGCCTGAATTTCAGGAAAAAACACTCACTTTTACAAAGAACGTCATTGTGTATAGGTGGGGGGTTGTTACACTCTCGTTTAATAAGTCTAAAATTGGATTCACAGTCACACTTTCCAAGCTGCCAGTCGGACCACCCTGTTCGAAAAAAGAAATATAAAAATCCATTACAATCTTAATTTGAATACATATTCTCTAAGCAACATTATCTTTTGATAAGTTGTATATAGCATTATGTTTTGGTATTTAGTTTAGATAATGTTTATATATATATATATGAACCAGACACGAACTTAAATAATACACACAAATCACCACTCAGAAACAAGAAATCGGAGTTTGTGTAATAGCTGTTTGTATTTTTATAATCCTACCTGGGTATCGGAGTTCTTGTAATATCTGTTTGCATTTTATTATTCTTACGGGTATCATTTGATTGTAAGTTGTATTATAGTTTGGAGACCTTTCGATCAGAGTTAGGTTGATAAGCTTATTTTGTAGGGGACAACAGGGGTGTCTTGGGGTGTCTTGAGGGTAAATAGACCGACCGGTATAAATACCGGGTGATTTTCTATATTACTTGTCTTGGAATCTCTTCAGGTCAGTTTTCTGAAAAGCCTTAGTGCTTTGACAATATTCAAAAATTTGACACTATAACACATGTAAATCGTTAAGATTTCTATTGCTTAGGAGTAGTATAGGGGCCTTTTTGAGGGCACGACTGCGCATGCGCGGCGCCATATTGGATTCTATTTTTAGAATGACATCATCGTTCTAATTTTAAACTGACATCATCGTTCTATTTTTAGAATGACATTATCGTTCTATTTTGAACCTCCCGGAAATATACGGAGCTGACTAGTATACCCGTTTTAGGACGTGAATCGCGGACATGTTAGTTCAGGTCCTTGGCCATAGACGGGGAGATAACATTTCCAGTGAAAATTATACACATGTATCCATAAAAAATATAAATGAATAAAAATGACTTACCTTTTAATTAGGACATTTTGTATTTAAATAACAGTCTGTATTATTTATTTAACATTATTAATAAAAATAGTATTAAAAACTTAATTCAATATCAAAATATTATTTCAAATGTGTTTTTCTATAAACATTTCAAATAAAAGAAAATGCCTTAGTAATAAGATATAATTAAAAACTGACTGACTAATTGACTCTATAATACAATGAATAAGACAATTAATTTATTAGTTTAAATGTGTTTCTTTATAAACTTTTTTAACAATATTATAACAAAATATATGAAATTAATTTTCAATTTAATTCGATATTATGAGTCAGTCAAATAATGTTTCTATATAAGATAATAATAAGGACTTTTACTGTACAATAATTTAATAAATATCTGCGTTAAATACATACATACGATGTTGACTTCTCGGCGTTTCGCAACGAAATGACTTTTTCAAGGTTTTTGCATTCCTTAATACGCATGACCGGTTCTAATGACCTCATCAGCTTATTTAAAAACGGACAAAAGGCTATTCAGGTGTCAAAATTAATCCATTCAAAATGTCAACAATGTTTGGCGTATGTTGATTTAAGAGCAGATGTGCGGACAATGGTCCATTCAACTGTCAAAATTAATCCCTTTAAAGTCGCCACGCTGTTTGGCGTGTGTTTATTTAGGGACGAATACTTTAACAAAGGTTCATTTAACTGTCAAAATTAATTCCTTTTAAAGTCGACACGATGTTTGGCGTCTTGTTTATTTAGGGAAGAATACTTTAATAACGGTTTATTCATGTGCCAAGGCTAGCTTGTTTACATTATTTGACGTGTGTTGATTTAAGTTCGAAAGAGTTAACAAAGGTCAATTTAACTGTTAAAATGAATCTCTTTAAAGCAGCCACTTGGTCTGGCGTATGTTTATTTAGGAACGGATATGCAGACAATGCTCCATTCAAAAGTTTATCCGTCTAAAGTAAAAGCGGGTTAGCAATAAGCTATTGAAGTGTCAGTTTACCACTGGAGCATGATTTTAAACTCATTTTGGAAAAGAAATGCCAACATGATTTTAAAACTGATCACACGAATGTGCAAAATTATAAAAAAACACTATTATCAATGGTCACTAAAACCGAACAAAAATACAACAGAAAAGGCGTTTTTCGTCTTTTGTGCAACATTTTACAATATACATTTTGATTTTTTTTCGCATTAAATGGTACACCTGACAAGTGCTTCGAAATAAACACAAGGTTCTCGATTCGATTTTTAGGCGTTCTCGAGTTATGACCCTTTAGCGATTTTTAAACTATTTTTTCAAAGTCCATAACACCCTTAGATTTATGTACCAATGGAAAGATCTCTGCGAGTAGATACAGAAAATGGATTATTATATGGTTCTATCTCTTACCGTTTCTGAGATAGGAGAGTTTGAATATGGCAGACATTATCACTCATGCATATAAATACGTATAACTTTTTTGTTACTGGACATAACATAGGCATGTTGCATATCAAACGAAAGGTCTTAACAAATGCTACGAGCTCGTACTGTTAAACCGCGAGTGAAATCACTCATGCGTAAAAAATATTAAAATAACTAAAATAAGCTTACCCCAGTCTTTACTCCTCGCCTATCAAACTATTTATGACAATTTACGACAAGTTTAAACCGGTATTGCTATTTTTGATCAGCCAATGAAATTGAAAAACGATGACGTCTAACAATAGACAGCCTTGTTTTGAACCCACTCTTTTTCATTAACCAATGAAAAGTGGAGAATGATGACTGGATAAATTTTGACATAAAAAACGCCTTTTTGTCTTTTATGCAACACTTTACGATATCCATTTTCAAGATATTTATTTCATTTGATAGACCTTACCAAATGCTTCAAAATAAACCCTAGGTTCTCGATTTGATTTTAAGCCATTCTCGAGTTATGGCCCTTTAGCGATTTTTAAACCAATTTTTCAAAGTCCATAAAACCGTGAAATGTATATACCATTTGAAAGATCTCTGCGAGTAGATACAGAAAAAGTATTATTATATGGATCTATCTCTTACTGTTTCTGAGATAGGAGAGTTTGAATATGGCAGACAAAATCACTCATGCGGAAAAACGCGCATAACTTTTTCGTTTATGAACGAAACATAGTCTTGTTTGGTATCGAATTGAAGGTCTTGACGAGTACATTTTACTTCCGCGATCAAACCGGATGTTAAGTCACTCGTGCGTGAAATTTATTTATTCTCCCCAACCAACGGACCGATCTTATCAATACCTTTATCGAACGAAAGGTATTACTCACTAAATTCAGAAAATGTATATTTTTGTATCGCTGACTCGGAAAGGGCACGAAATATGAAGTAAAATCACTAAAGCGTAAAATGTGGATTGACGCCTTCCTTAGTCAATATAACCCGGTCATGTTTGGTATCGTACGAAATGTTTTAAGGTGCTCTTTATGAATACTGAATAAAAATCACTAGTGCATAAACGCTCTATTTCTATTAAACATTCTTCATTGAAAATGCTGTACTTGAAATATAAACTCAACTTACTGCGTAATGATGTTTACTCTTTGACGTCCAATCACCAAATGACTGAAGTCACCACTGCGTTACATTATTCGCATGCGCTGATCTAAATTTAGAAATGACATTGTCCAATCTAACAGCAGTTAGTCTTTTCTTACGGACTGAATGTAACCAATCAGACAGAAGATTTATTTGACCAATGATTTTGGTCACGTGACTATTTATAACATAAATAGATGAATAACGTCATGCCAAAAATAGCAGCCAATAAGAGGTGGAGGTTGTGGTGGTGGTGGTGGTTGTGGTGGAGGTGGTGGTGGAGGTGGTGGTGGTGGTGGTGGTGGTGGTTGTGGTGGTGGAGGTGGTGGTGGTGGTGGTTGTGGTGGTGGTGGTGGTGAAGGAGCAGGAAATTAATAAATGACAAATCCTGTTTCCAGTAATAAAATATACGCAGAAAAACATTCTTTTTTTATACACACGTATTAAAATCTGATTGGCTGCTATTTTTGGCATGACGTTATTCATCTATTTATGTTATAAATAGTCACGTGACCAAAATCATTGGTCAAATAAATCTTCTGTCTGATTGGTTACATTCAGTCCGTAAGAAAAGACCAACTGCTGTTAGATTGGACAATGTCATTTCTAAATTTAGATCAGCGCATGCGCATAATGTATCGCAGTGGTGACTTCAGTCATTTGGTGATTGGACGTCAAAGAGTAAACATCATTACGCAGTAAGTTGAGTTTATATTTCAAGTACAGTATTTTCAATGAAGAATGTTTAATAGAAATAGAGCGTTTATGCACTAGTGATTTTTAGTCCGTATTCATAAAGAGCACCTTAAAACATTTCGTACGATACCAAACATGACCGGGTTATGTTGACTAAGGAAGGCGTCAATCCACATTTTACGCTTGAGTGATTTTACTTCATATCTCGTGTCCTATCCGAGTCAGCGATACAAAAATATACATTTTCTGAATTTAGTGAGTAATACCTTTCGTTCGATACAGGTATTGATAAGATCGGTCCGTTGGTTGGGGAGAATAAATGAATTTCACGCACGAGTGACTTAACATCCGGTTTGATCGCGGAAGTAAAATGTACTCGTCAAGACCTTCAATTTGATACCAAACAAGACTATGTTTCGTTCATAAACGAAAAAGTTATGCGCGTTTTTCCGCATGAGTGATTTATTTTGTCTGCCATATTCAAACTCTCCTATCTCAGAAACGGTAAAAGATATATCTATAGAATAATACATTTTCTGTATCTACTCGCAGAGATCTTTCAAACGGTATACAGTCGACATTGTATTAAGAGACCACTCAAGGGACTGCCAAAAAGTGGTCTCTTAATAAAATGGTCTCTCAATAGAATTCTTGAAAATTCGAGACTTTTTTATATTATAAGTCATAGATATAATAACATCTTTTTATAAAAACAATAACTGTACAATATTATATATGTATTACAGTTTCATAATTACATTTATGCTTTTCGTTAAAAAAAAGTCATCAATATGTGCTTGTTTTTTTAGTAGAAATTTGTGTAAAAATGTGATCTACGCTTATAATACTATTAACAGGTCATTTTGACCTTGAAACAAAGCATATT